TATATAAAATCCTCTCTTTCTTCAGCTGCTTAGCACAGTGCAGACAAGTAGTAGTACTGATCAGAGACCATATCAGAGCCTCTTCACAGAGAGAAGACAAAGAAACTGCAGGACTCTGCAGACTCAATTCAGCAGCATTTCAAGCAGGGCTCAGACAGGCTGTGAAAGAGGAACTATGAATTGAGCTTCTCAGAGTCACTGTCTCTGAAATCAAGCTCTCTTCAGATTTCTCTTCAAATGATCACACAGGGTCATACATCACTGTATTGGCTGAGAGAGAGAGTGAAGTCACAACAGCAGCAGAGAGAGCAGGGAATGAACTGGACACAGATACACTGATCAGCAGAACTGCTGCAGCTGCAAAAGAAGCAGAAGAAGATGTGACAATGAGAGCAGTGCTTTCACAGCTCATTGACACTGTCACCTTCAATCTGACTTTCTTAACAGTCACAGAGGCCGTCACTGCACCATGAAGACATTTATTCACTAGAAAATGTCAGAATAAGCCCTCTACTGTTCTTCAAGAATGATACTCTCATGCACTCACTATTGCAGATGAAGAAGAGAGAAGAAAAAAGTGTCACAGAGAAGAAAAATCTTTTCTAAAAAATCCTGTCACTACTGTTAGTTTTGTTCCTAAAACACATCACTTTTGCAGGGAATTTTATACATAGAACAGAATATATTGAAAGATCTGTAAGTCACTTATTAATTACATTTTTCATCTTTCAAATCAATATATAAGAAACCCACTTATCATGTGTTTAGTTTGAATGAAGATGAGAAAAGAAAGATCTATACAGTCAGTAGAAAAACTCATCTATTTCTTTATATCACATGCAGTATATATACTGTCAATCAGTTGACAACTGTTGCTATACAACAAAGATAATTCCTAATTCAGTAATCTTGAGAGTATAGAGACTATGCTCTTAAAGAGAAGGGCATTGTCACACTCTCAGCTGTGTCAAGACTCTGTTGCAGTTTCACACAGCTCATTGCTTTCATGCAGATGATTTCATTCATCCCGCAGGTCATCTGAACCGGTTTTCAATCACTCTATGACATCATGCGGATGTATCATAGAAAGATCTGATTGATGAATATGAGAATCTCACTTCTATATGAGGTCAGCAGATTACTCTTTCTTGGTAATAAGATATCACTGAGGTATCACTTCAGCTATTCTCACTCATGAAATGAGAGAAGAGTATCCACTCATTGTCTATATAGAATAGCTAGATGCTGACTTCTCATCAAAGAAGCCAGTGATTTATTTTCCTTCTACTGAAATATATATGAGAGTTACTGTGTGCCTCATACTAAGTATCATATCTGTGATATCCTCACAATAATCTTGTAGCCTACAAGCTCGCTATTCAAGCAAGATAGTCAAGCTCACTTATACAGCTTCTCAAACAACTACTTCTATGTGATGCCGCCGACTAGCCACCGCTTCGGTTCCGCCACGTTACAACTTATATGAGATAAGAATTCAAACAGAATAATCTTATGAAGATTGCAGTATTGAATAAATTCTTCTATGAGATGAGAATCATGATTATTCATTAATAGCAGTTGATGACTGCTCATTTGACACTTTTTTATCATCGTATTGAACTGCTTAATTCATTCAAATTCAATCTCATCATTTGTAAAGCCAGACTCAGATGCGGTGATGATGTAGTTGTCAGATAAGTTGAAGTGTGTATATTAATTCTCTAGATGAATATTTGATTTCATTATAATCAATGAATTCAATACTGTGTCATCTGCACTGACACACTTCATCACTGTTATTAACTCACGGGAGTATGATGACTGTATGACAGAATTCATGTCTTTAAAGATGATTATAACTCACTGTTCATGTTCTTCTTCTTCTTGAAATTCAATCTCATCAAAGTTGTAGATATCACTGTGAAAAAATTGATATTGATTGAAGACAGCTTCATATTAATCAAATCAGTTAATAATGAAGCTTATATTCTCACAAGACACTTGTTTTGAATTCATGGGTTTTTGCTTGACTTATTTGTAATCTGACAGATGTTTGATGAATCAATATATTCACATCTTGCTTACTGTGAGAGGTGCAGTCTCTGAATCTGTATAATGCTGTCTTAACATGCAGTTTGCAGCAGCTTTAATATGCTCAATGATGAGTGAGCAAAAGTTAATATTCAATTGATGAATTCATATCTTAATTGCCTCTTCCTGGCTGTCATTCAATGCTCAGTTCAGTGAAACTCTCATAGTTCTTGATTTCTTCCTGTTGATCCTTTCATATAAGATAGCATATGAGACTTTGAATTCTTGCAATAGAGATATGATTTTTAATTTTGAATTACTTTTGTACATGTTAACAGCTCTTTGCAACTGCTCCTCAGTGTAATTAGAAGATTTAGACATGGTTATAATTAATGATGATTATTTGAAGATGAAGAATGAAGATATTGAAAATATTTTCTTTACAGTGTGGTTTTCCGTACGCTGTGGCGCACTCACTACAGAGAGTGAGTAAGCATGGCACGGTTAATGTATCCCCTGCGGGTTTCGAACCCACACACCTTTGTTTCCCACGCCAAGGCGCTACCAGGTGGCCGCATTAACCATTCGGCCATTGGGGAGACAGAGTATAAGCTCTATATTAAATCAACAAAGTATGTGTTTGAAACAGAAGAATTAGAGTTTATAGAATATATAGTGAGTGATGACTGTATATATCTCATTCTGAAAAAATTGAATGTTATAGTGAATTAACTATGACTGAGAAATATACATTATATATAACAGTTTCTTGAGTTAATCTCATATTACTGCAGATTTATCAAGGATTTTATATAAATATCTGCATCACTCTCAGATCTCTTAAGAGAAATGAATGCAAATTTGTGAAAGAAGAAGTTTCATTCAATTATCTGAAATGCTGTATGTGAAGAGACTTTTCTCATACTAAGAGAATATATAATAACATCTTCAGTACTTATTTAATCAGATTGTGATAAACCTTTCTATATTGAGATAAATACATTTGAATGAGCTATCAGAGATACTCTTCTACAGAGAAGTAAGAACAGCAAGCTGTACTCAGTGATATATAATGATAGAAAACTATCAGATACTGAGCTCAATTACTCAGTATATGAAAAGAAATTACTAGTGATTAAGCATGTGCTGATGTTATAAGATAGATATATTAATAACAGATATATAATAACAGTGATCACAGATTATAAAAGCCTTATCTATCTATAATTAATAATAAAATCTTTCAAATACTTAGCACATTGAATCTCAGAGTTTTAAGTGTATAATCTTTATATTAAATACTGAAAGAGATCAGATACTGTGATATCTGATATAATCAGTTACAGATCTGATTTCATGAGTGAGTGTTCTATAAATCAGATATAAGAAACATTCACATTAAATGTGCTGAGAGAATACAAGAAATCAGAATGAGTGAATGTTATAATCTCTCACTTAAAGAATGATAAGATGATGAATAACAAGCATCTCATGAGAGTAGTAGAAGAGATACTTCTGAACTTCAAGCTGAGAAAATTGAAAAATGATATTATGCTTTACTGTGATCTAGAATATGTAGAAGCTCTCTATCTAGAATCTTTATTTAGATGTGACTTAATAACTCATATGTATAAGGAATTTGATTACTTAGAAAGCTCTGAACTCATGAGTGTACTCAAAACAAGAGTATACTGATCAAGCATGACTGAGAATATTCAGATGTATACTCATAAGTGCCTGAATTATCAGATTGTAAAAGAATCTAAGAAAGAGTTAGAATATGAGAAAGTATAATATCAGATAAAGTGTATAATACAACTATTTAAATGATGAAAGATGAATCTCATAGACATATTACTGTAAATGTTAAATGAAAATTAATGAATAATCACTGCTATTGATTACACTACTGACTGACCAGTTGTGAAAGCAGTTTCAGAGATAATAGAGAAGATAATAATGAAGTTTCTATATAATGAGATCTATGTTAACTATGAAATGCTGTTTGAGATTCTCACTGATAACAGTGTGAATCTTATAGAAGAAGTGACAAGATATTTCATAAGTCAATTACAGACAAGACATTGTAGAACAATGCTATATCATTCACAGATAAACAGAAAGATGAAATGCTTGAATGAAATCTGAAGCAACATGCTGATAAAATATCTAGTGAGCAAGCCTATAAGATTATGAGATGAATATCTCAGACAGGTGCTATTAGTCACACGAATTCAGCAGCATGCAGTCTTCAAGTGTTCATCATTCTATCTGTTGTATGAATTGCATCCGCACATCCCGGAGAATGCTTTGAAAGAGGTGAGGGAGAAAACAGCAGTTGTGAACGCAACAGTCACAGACGCGGAACCAAGATTGAAAGAGATCAGCCACACACGTGTAAAAGCTAATAAGTTACTCCTGAACTGTGCAATTCAATTGAAAAGAATATGAGACTCACTAGTTAAGAAATCAAGTCTCAAGGTGGAAATGTGAGTTCTTGTATGCAATGAGAGTTCTGAGAAGTTTCAACCTAGATGGTTTGAGTTATATAAAATACTCAAATCACATTCTCTGAGAATATATGTATTGAAAGAACCTACAGATCTATCATTCTGAAGAAATTCACCAGAGTGAATGTTTTCACAATGTTGAACTTTACAGTTGTAAAAAGCTTCTTGATATCTGTGAATACTATGACTTTATACACAGTAAAACTCATAATGATTTTCTCTAAGAACAGAAAAATCAGTGTCAGAAAGAAAAGATGAAACAGAAAAAGACTTATAATTTTAATACTGTTGAGAGAGAAGATGATTCTCTGATATAAATAAATAATTATCTTATCATGAATATTTACAATGAATGTAATAATCAGTGTCTGTAACTGAGCTTCAGATAGTCATATTGTACACAGTCTTCATACAATAAATTATTCTGAGAGTTGACAAGAAGGATGAAAGTGTACACACTGAGAAACATGATTTATTAAGTCTATGCAACATCTTCTTGAAATGAGAAGAGCTGATAATGAAAGCAGAGACAGTAAAACCAGAAGTGACAGGAGTGAGAGTCGCGAGAACAGGGGTAGCGGGAGCGGGAGAGCCAGACACAGAGACAGGTGTAGAAGATTGAGAGAGAGTGACAGAGAAAGAAACAGAGAGAGCAGAGAAAGATGCAGAAGACTCAGTCACACATAACACAGACAATTTCTTCATTATCACATTCTTCAAGTTCTCAATCAATGATTCAATATTGAGATCACAATCATTATCAGACACAGATCTGTCAATGTGTGAAGATTCTATATAAATTAAAACATCAGTATCTGCAATCATGCAACATAATGAGGAAAACATAATTAGATATCACTGAAGAAAAGTGAATTAAGAGTGTATAAGAAGATGAAGAAGATGTGTCATTCATGATAGTATGTTCTGATGATTATTAGAAGATAAACAAGTCCTGATCATGTTTCACAACATGTTATACTTACTGCTAACAAACTGCCTGATATGAGCACTATGAGAACACTTGTTATGAGAATGAAGAGTCATCATCAGAAATGCATATAATGTGATAGATAAACAGATAGAAACAGTTGAACAGAAGAAGAAGTAGAAATCTTAAATGATAATGATATTTGATAATAATGATGATGAAAAAGATGATTGAAGAATGAGAAAAGTTAGTGAATGAGTGATGTATTATAGTGAAAGTTTCTTTGTGAGAGTGTATGCAAGATACTAGCTGAATCAGAGATAGAATATATAATTATGAAATACTAGTGATGAGCTAATCTGTATGAAGCTAGAATGTACAACATGATCATGTGAGTATGACTGAATCTGATAAGAAGGAATGTGATTCAGAAGAACATACAACTGTTGAATAATAATGCAGCCACTTCTGAACTTGCTTACAAGTGTAAAGAGGCCATAGCAGCCGCTAATTTATTTAGTGTACAATATATAAGAAGCCGGCGTACGCCTGTAATCGTACGCTGGCTTAAGCAACCTTTGAATCACATACTGATGTGTATATGAAGAATTAATATAAGAGAAAATAATCTTGTTTCTTAGCTTAGTTATAATTTTAGTACTAACTCAGATTGAATATCATCAATGTATAAAAGTAAATAAATAATCTTGATTAATCTCTGTCATATTTCTTGAAATATATTAATATTGTGAAAGAGAGTGTTATCAAATTATATTATCAGATAATATTATTAAAAATATATTAATATTATGAATATCAATGTTGAAAAAATGTTGATACTTATATATTATAGTGATTTGTGAATCATGATAGTTAAATATATATATATATATATATTATTTCTGACTTGATTACAACTTGTATAATAATTTTTAAAAACTCAAAATTAATTTCAATTATTAATAATTATGAACTTATAACTAATTAATATAAAAAGAAAAAAACTTTTTCTACTCATTATCTTTCTACTCTTTCTTATTCTTCTTATTATTCTTTATAATTTACTTCTCATTCTTCTTCTTCTTCTTCTTCTTCTTATCTGAGATAATAATCATCTCAAAATCTCTCTTCACTATCTTCTCAGAGAAGAGTTCTCACTGCTTCCTCTCAGTCAGATTAATCTGTGTCTCAAAATCCCGCATTTTCTGATCTGCTGTCTCAGGTTTCATCTCAGCAGTAAGCAGATTAATATGTCTAGAGAGTAGAGCTGTCTTCTTAATATTCTGAATTATGAAGTGCATTCAAGATCTGAACAAGACCTTAATTCTCTTCTTCTCTATCAGCTTTTGCTAATCAATTACAGAACAGAAGTATTATCAAAAATCATTATCTTTTAATAAATAAAAAACATATCAGTTTTGACTTCTTTATCTTCTTCTTCAATATCTTCTCAATCTTCTTCTATCACTGCTTATTTATAGTAACACTCTTCTTGTCTCTTTCTCTCTTTATCTTGATTTTAAATTATTCTTGAGACTTCTTCTGATCTCACTGCTGCTGTATAAGGCTTTTCACTGTCTTCTTCTTCAATCTCTCACAGATGATGTTATCTGTATTATTTCTATACTTATTTCTGTCTAAATCTATGAAGAGCATTACTTAAAATCATTATCATTCTACCTTCTTACAGAGTCTCTTTAAGATATTATAATATATCTTATAATCTGTCTTCTCTTACTTAAACATCTTCTTCTTCTCTTTCTTCAATATGTGACAGTGCTCATGCGCCTTGATGATTCACAAGACTGCAGAATATTTAAAGAGAGATGACATAATTAATTTTAGTAAGTATTGAAGATAGATGAAGGCAGAACAGATGATCAGAAATAATATAGTAATTATAATAATAATAATGATAATAATAGTAATGATGATAATGATAGTAATAATGATAATAATGATAATAATGATAATAATAATAATAATGAAAGAAGAAGTGCATTGAAATATATTACTGACTTATCAAATATAAAGAGACTTAAAGAAAATATTAACAGCTTTCAGCAATGTACAGAAACAGCTACAGTGTTGTATAGTAATATTATCTTCATTCAATACATACACTGTTAATATTCTTTATATACAGTTATTATATAATCTGTATCAGAGATACATGTAGAAAACAGATCTTTATTACTAGAGTAAATAATTACAGCAATTCTCTATTTTCATATTATAAAGATAAGTTGTTCTTATTTCTTTCTTCTCTCTTTTCTCTTCTTCAATCAATCACTAATTTCAAGCTGATATGAAAACTATTAAAACACTCTCAGAAACTCTCAAATTGAAGAGTATAGACTAATTAATTTCAAATACAGAAGAAATCAAATTATCTTCTACAGATTCAATTACTCATTTCTTCTTAAATAAAATAGTAGTTGCATTCTCTCTTCTCTTCAATTAAATGAAATATGGCCTGTAAAAAGCAAGTATCATGTCAGGCTATAATAATCAACACAGTCTCAGCATGCAGAACTGTATATACACCGTGTGTACTGAACTGAAAGACTGTGTGAATTGCAAACTAATTGCAGCATCTCAGAGAGAGTCATGCAGTGTGAGAAAGCTGTAACTCTCAGTCACATGTGCAGAGAATGAATCACTGCAGCAAGTATATATACTGTCAGAATAAGTGCTCGCAGGCGATTATTCAGGTGTTTGCAGCTTGGCGTGATATGTACTGTTAACTACTAGAAGTATTCACGGTAGGAAGATAAATGTAGAGATCAAATGTATAATAGCATTCAAGCTGAGTTATAAATAGTATTCATGAACTTCAGTCTATATAGTTGTATGTAGTCAAGGGCTGCTAGCTCTATTGATTATATAAGAGATAGAAATAGAGATAAAGAATCTGTAAGAAGTGAAATTTCTTACATATCTCTCTCTCTCTAAGACTTTGTTCATGAAGTCTTTCACTGAGTAACTTCATTGAATCAGCTCAGTACTGCAGTGATACTCACTAAAAATCCTTCATATCTATAAAAAATCTCAGTGAGGAAAAATCTCTTATTACTGTAAAGAGAAAAGAGTCTGTCACTCAGTTTCTTATTTTATAAGATTCTTTATAATCTACAGATTCTTCTCTAACTATTATATAGATTCATCTCACATCTTTCATACAGAAGAGTTCTGATTGACTCTCAATCATTTCTATGAAATTCTTGTATAATCATCACACAGATTTATCTCACAGATGCATCACTCTCTGTATGATTACTCTTATCAAAGAGAAACATTCACAAGTTGATCTTTCACTTATTCTCATGAATTATTGTTCTTTGATACTGTAGAATTATAAGGAATTTTCCATTCTTTCACTAACTCTATAGAATTGTAGAATCAAGATGTCTACAGTCTGTAATCACTCTTTATAGTCATATAGAAAGATTCAGGCCTGTAATTCACAATCACTCTTATTTACTAGAGTAATCTGACTGTTTCATGAAATCACTCACAGTGTAAGTAAATCTCTCTAGAGTAGTATAAATATTTCAGATCTATTCATAGAATCTCATCTTCTTTTCTCTTTTTCTATAACAGCTCTCATTCTTATAAACTGTGAGTATTCTCATTTATTCACAAAGTGTTTTTATTCAGATAACAGAGAGAGAGTGTTTCTAACAATATCTGTATATTAATTTGAGAACTTTTCAAGAATAAAAATTTTTTCAATTTCAATCTCTTTATAAATAATGTCTGATTACTACTGAGCTTCTTATGAGTATCTCTGTGACTTCTCTGATCACTTTTTATCAGCTGATGAAGCAGGAGTGCTACTGCTCATGATTATATCTTCATCTCTCTCAGCTCTGTCACTGCACTCGATCTTCAGGTCAGCAGCCAATCCACTGTCTTTTTCAGGCCAGTTTCTGACTTCAAGCAGTGCAGTCTCTCTCTTTACTGTAAGTCTTCTTATAAGTAATTTCTTACAGATTCTAGCTGACAGTTCTTATAAAGCTCTCAGTGTTGTCAGTGTCTTCTGCAGCTCTTTGAGTCTATAATGATCTTCTCTCTGCCTGCACAATCTCTGATCAGGTATATGTGAATATGTCTAGATTCTCTATCAATGATTCTCACACTGCAGCACATTTTCATAATCTCATTATCAATGAGAGATGAGTCTCTGAGTATCTGTAAAATCCAGGTAATCAAGATAATATGAATGTTATGAATTTGTGACAGAAGTTGATCTGAACAGATGAGCTCTCTCTTCATATCTCAATTATTTTCAGACTGAATACTTCAGTATAACTGAGAGAGTGAACACAGCTTCATGAGAAATATCTGATCATATACACAGATAGTCAGTCTTTAAGATTCTGCTATAACTGTATATACTCTGATGTTCAGCTTCTCTGAAGTCTGTGCATTTCTGATAATCTTCATGTTAAATGTAATAATTATCTGTATCATAGATATGATACTCTCTGCTTCTTTAAAGAGAAAAATTGATAGTTATAAAAGAGTTGAGTGTCACAGATATTAAGAGTATGAGTGTGAATTTCCTTTATTTTTTCTTTATTAATCTCTAAATTATGTTCACAGTTCTGTTTATTTTTCTTATTTTTTAGCTTTAATGAGAATATAATTTCTTCTTTTCTTATGTACATTGCAGACTGTTCATCTCAGTAGAAACTCATCATCTTATAGACTAGAATTTATAAATGACAGTGTTAATGTCTTTATTATAATCAGATTCTTAGTGAAGATCATACTATTCTGACTTATTAGAATTCACAGTATGAAAGTCATATCTCAGCTTCTGCAGATGTCTTATCTGCTCAGATAATTCTCAAGTGA